TTGGTTAGAGCGTGGTGCTATTTCATTGTTATATGGTAGGGGGCGCTATTACACATCTTCTGTACATAATTTCCCAAAAAAACGAAACAACAGATGCTTCTACATGTATTCTAACATGATCATCAGACATAAAACAGCATCAAAACTGTGTAATGTTATGAATTAAAATGTCGACCCATGAAGAGCTTTGAGGTGTTGATCGACTCCATCTACATTTTGATTATCATTCTGAATCCAATTCATCGTATTTTTTCAGCTTTTTCTTCAAAATGTTGTTTGTTTCTTTCTTTTTTTAATGAAACTTTCCCACATTCAAGTGTTTAAAAAAAAGAATGCATGACGCTAGAATAAAATGTTTTTGTTTACAAGCAGATACCCTGTTCTTTCTTTTGATGTTTTGTATGTTCAGATATTCATATAACAAAATATATACAACGTAATACCTAAATAGGGACATAGTAGTATACTTAAAGTATGATGTAACATTCACTTAAAGAAAACTTATGAGTATACTTGCAGTATAAAACTACTAAACTAGTAGTTTACTGAGACTATACTTCAAGGTTTACTAAAACGGCTACAAGTATTTAATTAGTAAACTATCAGTATACCTATTTTCACTTTTAGTATAGTTGCAGTACAAACTAAAACATAGATGTAAACTAGTTGTGTATTCAAAGTTTACTTCTGTTATACTTAAAGTATACTTAAAAGTATACTTTTATATACTAGAAAGTGGGTCAATTTAATCCCAAGGAGTATTGAAATAGTACACTTAAAAGTATACTACTAGTACACTGATATTTGTATACTTACTACATAAAGTATACTTAAAAATATACTTGAATTTTACTTAAGTATACTTAATAAAATGAACTTGAAGTATACTTTTTTTGGTAAGGGTTGGTATTGACCACCTCATTGAGACGCTGCCTAACCCATGTCCTAAGAGCTCCATTCTGTCACTTATTGAGCGACAGCCTTTCAAGATGTCAAAAAAACATTTCAGAAAAAAATGTTAGGCTAGAGTTCAGCCTACAACAGGCCAGTGAGCAGTAGGGATGATTATACACAACAACATCACCAGCTATGCAAACATGGTGGTGAAAGGCTATATTACATATTGTAATATTATATAATGTTGTGCGCTATCTGTCACGCCCACTGAAGGCTCGTCAGTAGATCATACGTGCGCTGAAGTGAACTAACCCTGGAACATAACCTGCTCCGGAACAGGTTATCTTCAGAGAGCAAGTTACTATGGTTACTTAAATAAACTGAAAGTAACCTCTGATTTTGGAACCGAAAGCTGAGGTTATCCGCTCACTTATCCTCAAACATACCCGGGTATGTCACATAACCTGCTTTTTGGAATACCTCCCTGCTCCCTACCAGGATAGGTTCACAGAGTAAGTTACCATGGTAACTTACTCTGTGAACCTATCCTGGTAGGGAGCAGGGAGGTATTCCAAAAAGCAGGTTATGTGACATACCCGGGTATGTCACATAACCTGCTTTTTGGAATACCTCCCTGCTCCCTACCAGGATAGGTTCACAGAGTAAGTTACCATGGTAACTTACTCTGTGAACCTATCCTGGTAGGGAGCAGGGAGGTATTCCAAAAAGCAGGTTATGTGACATACCCGGGTATGTCACATAACCTGCTTTTTGGAATACCTCCCTGCTCCCTACCAGGTTAGGTTCACAGAGTAAGTTACCATGGTAACTGACTCTGAGTATAAGTTACCTCTCTTTCAGAAACGGGCTTGACTTACCCTGCTTTCTCGGGTTTGGCATACCTCCCATTCTGAAACGGAAAACCCAGAGTTTCCTTAATTTCAGGGTTCACATACTCAAGAGTTTTCACTTAACCTCCTTTCTGAAACAGACCCCTGAACATTCAAAACATCAAAAGATGAAATCAGCATCTTCAAAAAGCTGGTCAGCAGAAGGAAGCATGAAGTGCTCCAAAATATCTTGGTAAACGTGTGCAGTGACGTTGGTTTTCAAAAAACACAATGGACCAACACCAGCAGATGACATTGCACCCCAAATCATCACAGACTGTGGAAACTTAACACTGGACTTCAAGCAACTTGGGCTATGAGCTTCTCCACCCTTCCTCCAGACTCTAGGACCTTGGTTTCCAAATGAAATACAAAACTTGCTCTCATCTGAAAAGAGGACTTTGGACCACTGGGCAACAGTCCAGTTCTTCTTCTCCTTAGCCCAGGTAAGACACCTCTGACGTTGTCTGTGGTTCAGGAGTGGCTTAACAAGAGGAATAAGACAACTGTAGCTAAATTCCTTGACACGTCTGTGTGTGGCGGCTCTTGATGCCTTGACCCCAGCCTCAGTCCATTCCTTGTGAAGTTCAATCAAATTCTTGAATTGATTTTGCTTGACAATCCTCATAAGGCTGCGGTTCTCTCGGTTGGTTGTGCATCTTTTTCTTCCACACTTTTTCCTTCCACTCAACTTTCTGATAACATGCTTGGATACAGCACTCTGTGAACAGCCAGCTTCTTTGGCAATGAATGTTTGTGGCTTACCCTCCAGTATAAGTTACCTCTCTTTCAGAAACGGGCTTGACTTACCCTGCTTTCTCGGGTTTGGCATACCTCCCATTCTGAAACGGAAAACCCAGAGTTTCCTTAATTTCAGGGTTCACATACTCAAGAGTTTTCACTTAACCTCCTTTCTGAAACAGACCCCTGAACATTCAAAACATCAAAAGATGAAATCAGCATCTTCAAAAAGCTGGTCAGCAGAAGGAAGCATAAAGTGCTACAAAATGTATTGGTAAACGGGTGCAGTGACGTTGGTTTTCAAAAAACACAATGGACCAACACCAGCAGATGACATTGCACCCCAAATCATCACAGACTGTGGAAACTTAACACTGGACTTCAACCAACTTGGGCTATGAGCTTCTCCACCCTTCCTCCAGACTCTAGGACCCTAATTTCCAAATGAAATACAAAACTTGCTCTCATCTGAAAAGAGGACAGTCCAGTTCTTCTTCTCCTTAGACCAGGTAAGTGTAGCCTAGTGAACCAAACTGAGAGACCATTTTGAAGGCTCAGGAAACCTTTGCAGGTGTTTTGAGTTGATTAGCTGATTGGCATGTCACCATATTCTAAATTGTTGAGATTGGAGGGAGAATTGGAGGGTTTTTGTTAAATGTGAGCCAAAATCATCACAATTAAAAGAACCAAAGACTTAAACTACTTCAGTCTGCATTGAATTTATTTAATACACGAGTCACAATTTGAGTTGAATTAATGAAATAAATGAACTTTTCCACGACATTCTAATTTATTGAGATGCACCTGTACATAAATCACATTTCTGAAAAGTATAAAATGTAGACTGAAAGTATACGTTCCAATTTTTAGTTTAAAAGAAGTATACTAATAGCACACTTGAATAAACTTATTTTTCGTAAAGGCTAGTGCTGAACGCTCACTTGACCCTTTCCCCATCCCATTCTCCTGTTTCGACTCCAGTTGTTTCTTGTCTCTATCCTAACTTTCCTATCGCAGAAAGGCCAAAAATATAACTTAAAACAGATACTTGGGTGTACTACACTCAACACATCAAATTAACTAAACATTCAGAGGTGGTGCAACTGATATGGCAGGACAGAGACATTTCTAGAAATTCTTGGAATGTACAGACAAACTCTCTCAGACAGAGTGGAGCTGTCTCTATGCACTGAGTGGTGGAAAGTGTGTGGATGATCTAGTGGATTGTCAAAATAGCCTTTCTTTAAGCCCACATAAGAGAGGGCCCTGTAACTCATGTCCACTCATAAAACCCCTGTGGACCAGTAAGATGTCGTCAGCTGTAAGCAGTCATCAGCTGAAGCTCACATTCATGAATTAATATGTGATGAAATGTTTCTGCAGATGCTGATGGATCCCAGGAGAGATTCATAGGTTAATGAGAAACATAAGCCTCAGTGGTCATAACAATCCGTACCTCACAGGACTGTTGGTGAGGAGTGAAGCTAGCAGAGCTCCGCTCCATGAACCCAAACCACAATAACACAAACTCAGGGAAGATATTTGACTGGCCCCCAAACCTCCAGTCAGCAAACCTTTCAACCCTTCCTGTCCCATGCTGAGCGTAAAACAGACAGGCAGACAGAGAAGAGAGGTGATTATTAAACCTTTAAAAACACACTGAAGATGGGGAAAAAACACTTGCTGAAACTAGTGAAACGAAGTGCTAAATATTTTCCAAAGTATACTCTTAACTCAGTCAGTAGAATGGCATTGTAAGGAACCATTCACACAAAACACATTCTTGTGTAAAAAAGTGGAATAAAATTGCAAGGTCTAGAGACATTTCTTTTAGAAATTCCTTTAACTTCTTTTAAAGTGAGCAATGCATTTTTATACCAGTGTGTCAGGCGTGAGATGCTGCAAAAGAAACAAGATGTGAGTGCAATGGTCAAACACGTCGGTCTAGTTAATGTTTACATGCAACCAATGGAACACCAGCACACTGAAATGCAAAAATATGTTCTGTGTAAAAGGCCTCTAACAAATAGTAATTCCAGCCATGCCAAAGTTATGGGTTTGAGGATAATGGCGATTAAAAAAAAAAATTTATATTAAGTGTTACACTGCTCAGAAATAAAGGTACAAAAGATGTCACACACACACATATATATATATATGTGTGTGTGTGTGTGACATCTTTTGTACCTTTATTTCTGAGCAGTGTAACACTTAATATACTGTATGCTTTGAAGTGAAAACTGAAATGCTTGTGCTACACAAAATGTAAATGCAGTGTACGATGACACTTTCAGTGAACTCGGGCTTAACTGTGAAACTGTGTAAACTCACAGTTACAGCTTCTTTGATCATACTGCTTACTGCGATCTGAACAGGAATTGGGTGTTAAATAGAGTGAGTAATGGCTCTCAGGTGAGCGTGTGATTAGTGAAGGCTGTGTGATCAGTGAATTCAGCTGTGTAAGTGCAATGGATGATGGGAACTGTAGTCCGGAGTGACATGTAACAGTCTGTGTAGTGTGAGAGTCAATGTAATGGTAGAGTGACCTCTATTGGCAATCGGCCGGAAGGCCACGGATAGGATTAGTGACAGTAGTATTGTCACTTTGTGTGACTTTTTTTCCCAAACTTGTTAAATGCAAACCATGCCCCGCAGCCAATTCTGACTATTTTATTGGTCATATCAATCACAGTGCTGATTGCACATGCAGCATTGTGTTGTGCAATTTTTCAAGATTTCAGGATTTCAAAGTGGATCTGAGGACATTCACACAATACACAATCAGATGTCCACTCACCGTGTGTAGTCCAGGCAGAGATTGGTGAGGTAGCTGATGCCTGCAGCCTTACCTAATCTTTCCAGAGACCATTCAGTTAGTCTGCAATCAAGTAGCTCCAGCGATCTGAAGGGATAAACTGTCCTCCCCCTCTTCTCCAAAAGAAGGCACTGTCAGAACAAACACATATGCATTAAATTATGCAGCTGGGTTGGTGAAATGCATCTAATGTGGTGAACAATCATGGATTTTACAATTACTATTATTTTGCACACAGTCAACTCCGTTTACATTACAACAACACTACGACAAGAACCAATAACACTTTAGCATTGATATTAAGTTTTGCACATGCAGACACCACTCCTTTTTTCTACAGATAATGTACAAATTTGGTTCAATTTTGGTTCATTCCATCAAAGTCCAAGAGATTTAAGGCAGGTTTGTACACTCACAGGCACTGCTGCTAATCAGTTAGTCACTCAGTTGGCTTACTGAAATAAATACACAGAGATCAAAGCTCTTGACAAAACTGTTGTGTGTGATCTCTTTCTAACTGTGAGAAAAAGAATAATTACATACATCTGTAGCCTATGTGAAGCTCTCCTTGAATGTCATTCCATAGATTAGTGATGATCTACAGTAGAAAAAAACCTCCCAGAATCTCATCAACATCTTAAAAATGATCGAGGACCCCTTATAGAACTCTCAGGCACGTATTGTTATAACCATCTGACCGGCACATATAAAGCTGTGTATGTGTCAAATTTATATGTTAGATTATCCTAACAGCATTCAAGTGCAGAACTTCAATTGCATGCTTATCCACAATATTGTTATCCTTGCATTCATTGTCTGCAGGTCAGTGGCATATGGCAGTGATTTTCACAGCATCAAAGCTGTTCTGGAAGTAAATCTCACCCTTTAATTGGACATATTTTTCCAATTTATATGAAGTGTGAACATTTTGCCCCTGGAAGGGAATGAAAATGGGTGTGGACCGCAGGATAATAAAAGTATATCAGTAACCATAACATATAACCAGCAAAAGCATGCATTGCCTGAAGAGGGGCCTTTTCATTGGTTATACAGAGTGGTTTAGGAAATGTAATACAATGATATTACAACATAGTTTTGCTAAATTGCACACAGTTTTTGGAAACAGAAACCTGGACATATATTTCCAAGAGGTGAACCATGGTTGCATCCATGGTTGATTTGTTGCTTTTAAACCTAGAGTATACTTCTAAAATATACTTATCAACTTATCACCAAAGGGACGTAGTAGAGACGAAAATGTGGAATAAAGTCGTTATTTTTGTTTTCTTTGCGCAAAAAGTATTCTCGTAGCTTCGTAACTTTACAGTTGAACCACTGATGTCACACGGACTACTTTGTCGATCATCTTGGTACTTTTCTGGACCTTGAACGTGGTGGTTACCTTGTTGTCTATGGGAGGGTCAGAGAGACCTCATATTTCATCAGAAATATCTTAAATTGTGTTCCGAAGATAAACGAAGGTCTTACGGGTTTGGAACAACAACACGAGGGTGAGTAATTAATGACAGAATTTTCCTTTTTGGGTGAACTAACCCTTTAAGTATACAATTTTTTCACTAGGGTATATCTACATTTACAGTTGAAATTAAAATCTAAGGGCCACTGTCCTCCAACTATTAACCAACACCTGAACAATTTAAACTAAGTCTTCAAGATCCAAATTAAAATCTACAGGACAGTGGCTCTCCCGCAGCAGAGTTGATCTATTACCTGCTAGGTCATTTTCAGATTGAGGGCCTTGGCACTCAAAGCCCCCATTGGCTCAAAACAAGGCTGAAAAATGGTAAGACAATGCAAGTTGGCTTCAAACTAAATGTTTGTTGATAGGCCTACATTCTGTACTGTATATATCAGTTTTAAATAATAAAAAAAAGTTTAGAATGTGATTTCATCTCTCAGGTTTTTCTTACAGAAGTTACAAGTCTTATAGTGCTGGAAACATAATCAAAAGTTTTGGCAGTAGCAAGTACATCTCCTGGTTTTAGTCAGGTCTTCATGGGTTTGACAACCCGCCATAGCCTCAGAGGTATTGCGGTTCTTGTTGAAAATACAGACCAGTGGTAGGCAGCCAATCGCCTCACGAACTAAAAAGCACCACCACAGTGATAATAAGTCAAATTTTCTATATCTATAACAGAACAGAAGTGTCTCGGTGGCAAAACAACATCTTCAGTTGCTTCTGGTCTAAGCAAAATTTCACCCAAAAATGACAATTTGATCATCATTTACTCCAATTCCTCATGTCGTTCCAAACTTGTGTGCTTTTATTTTCATGAAACACAAAAGGAGACTTATATAGCATACTGATTTCTCTTTGCCATGCAGCTACAGTGAAAAGAAATTGCATAAAAGTATCATGAAAACATTGTCAGAAATTAACGGGGACTTGGGGCAAAAATGCCTAAACAAATATTCCCCACAAATTTAAGGGGGCCCTGCAGAATTAAACTAAGATGATTACAATTATTGTGTTTATGTTAATGTTATGGGGTTTCAAATCAAAATATGACTTTCTGTTACGAAACAGGAGGTTGATTTCATACTCATATGAGGACACCGGGACTACAAGTATGTTTATTAGCATTTTGGGAGACATAACAAATGAATAGGGAAAGAAATTATGTTTCAATATTCTATGAAATATTATATATTATTATGAAAATCTTGTCAAATATTACTCCCATTATTACACTTCTTTTTTCATTGCATGTTATCCCAAAAACACATTAATATGCAAATTAGATTTAGTTTATAGATACATTGTATATAATGTGAAAACCCGTTTATGGCCATTTTACACACATTTTGCAGAAAGAAAAATGATATATCAAATCATTCTGTTATAACATAGTTGAGAAACATCTTTATACAAAGTTTGGTAAAAAAAAAAAATCCTGAAAACTAAAAATGCATTGGTGATTTTAAAAATCAATTGTTTTTGCCTATGCATGTTCATTCATGTATTTTTATTTTAATTTTAAATTGAGTCCCGATGTCCTCTACCGAGGACATAGCATAACTTATGAACGAAATATCATTAAAAAAATGTTTTTCCTTTTTTTTTAATGCTCTAAACAATGTAAAGACATGAAAAAAAACTATTTTTTCCTAAAAAATATTTTCTCGGGTCTTAAGAGGTTATACAGTACATACCTCAATATATATATATTGTGTTCCGCAGTAAAACGAAATGCATACGAGCTCGGAACGTAATGACAAAATAAAGTAAATGACAAAATTTAGATTTTTGATTAAGTGTCTTTCAGTAATCTTAACAATCCAAGCTAAAAGTTCATACATTTTGAATGGACTTGAATTTCAACTTCTCGGTTTCCAGCCCACTTCATTAGCCGCATTAACATAGCATAACTTATGAACGAAATATCATTAAAAAAAATGTTTTTCCTTTTTTTTTAAAGCTCTAAACAATGTAAAGACATGAAAAAAAAACTATTTTTTCCTAAAAAATATTTTCTCGGGTCTTAAGAGGTTATACAGTACATACCTCAATATATATATATTGTGTTCCGCAGTAAAACAAAATGCATACGAGCTCGGAACGTAATGACAAAATAAAGTAAATGACAAAATTTTGATTTTTGATTAAGTGTCTTTCAGTAATCTTAACAATCCAAGCTAAAAGTTCATACATTTTGAATGGACTTGAATTTCAACTTCTCGGTTTCCAGCCCACTTCATTAGCCGCATTAACAGTTTTACTCTGTAAAGTACCTTTCTGAGAGGCTCCTGTTTGTCGATGTGGTGAAGAATGGTTTGATTGAGCACAGCACAGGGACAGCTGTCAGTCTGCATGCAGTGATGCTCGTATCTTCTCCAGCGCTCGACACTGCAGACTGCGTCTTTCGCATTATGACACTAAACATTTTTTAGGATATTAATTAATTAAAGACAGTTGATGGGTTAACGTTAGAGTTTTTCTAAGGACTTACACGCATTTAAACATATCTAGCGGCACGTTATCAACTTTTATCAACTTAGCAACATTTCATAGCAATTACTTTTTATAGTTGCACTCTAGCCTACTGATTTTGTGTAGGCTTACTGTATGTATCACATTCCTGATATCACACGTTAAAGGGTTAGGGGAGAGCGGGGCACAAAGTAACACTTTTTGACTTTCTCAAATTGTGTAAATCCACATGGGGTGCAGTCAGAGTATCATTTTTTTTATCCACAGTAATTTCAGACTTGTCTAGTACAAATATGTCGCTTTGTTTCATAATTACAGTGTATACGTTTTTCTTTATTTACCCTAAAAAATTGGAAGTGAAATGTGACAACATGCCCCGTAGGTGGGGTACATTGTAACAGCTGTGGGGCATGTTGTAACATGACCATATGACAACTTAAAGGGGTCATATGATGCGATTTCAAGTTTTCCTTTCTCTTTGGAGTGTTACAAGTTGATTGTGCATAGATAAGATCCCTGAAGTTGCAAAGATTAAAGTCTCAAAACCAAAGAGATATTCTTTATCAAAGTTAAGACTCTGCCACGCCCCCTAAAACGGCTCATTCTAACACGCCCCCACATATCTACATCACTCTGTGGGAAGATTTGCATAATGCGCCCAAATGTGCACGCAAAGAAAGAAGGCGTGGTTTCAGTAACCGCAGTTAGTGTTGAAGCAGCATGTCAAGGAGACGCTGTGTGTTTCTAGGCGAAAGCAAAAGCACTTTATTTGGCCTTCCGAAAGTAGATGCATTTAGGAATCTTTAAGATTACTTACAACAGAACAGCAATGCATTTTATGGACGACCGTTTCGTGAACCTAGGAGAGGAGGTAATTCTGACTTTGCTATGACAATCTGGTGCTTCTGAATCAGCTACTGTTTTGTTATTGATTAAATATTTGCTATTGACAGTTCAAATGCGGAGTTTTATGCATTGTGTGTGTGTGAGAGAGAGAGAGAGAGAGAGAGAGAGAGAGCGAGAGAGAGAGAGACAGGGTCACATCACAGTGGAGCTAGTAAATGCTGTAAATTTGGTTATGCTAGCATGTGTGGAAATATTTAAACCACGTGTGTTACAACTTACCTCGCATTACTTTGTGCCCTGCGCTCCTAGTTCACCCAAAAATGAAAATTCTGTCATTAATTACTCACCCTTGTGTTGTTCCAAACCCGTAAGACCTCTTCGGACAATCTTCAGAACACAATTTAAGATATTTTTGATGAAATCTGAGGGCTCTCTGACCCTCCCATAGACAGCAAGGTAACTACCACGTTCAAGGTCCAGAAAAGTACACTCATGACTAGGCTGTTTTGAGCCATTTAACACTACTTCAAGCTCTCTTTATCACACATTGTGCAATTTAAGTTACACTATGTACAGTAGATTCACATTTACAAGGTTCCATACAGTCATGGAAAACATGGAAATATTAGGAATTTTGAAATTGTTATTTCCAGGATGTTATTTCCTGGAAATTTATAAAATATTGAAAAGTTGTGGACGTTTTTGTTGTGAATATTTTTTGTTATTATATTTTATCTGTTTGCAGACCTGTTATACTCATATTATCTTATACATTTTTATCCTTAAAAATGTGTTTTTTTTTTTTACGTAATTGTTACGGAGCTGACAAGACGTGAGACGTGTGGATCCATTCGCAAAGCTTTATTGTGGAGAAGACAGAGACATGGTCATAAAGCAGGCAGGGTCAAACAGAGGCAGACAGGTATATGGCGGGCAAGACACAAGAATCGTCCTAGGGCTAGCGTGGGTCGACGATTGGCAGACAGAGTCACAGGGGCAAGGCTAAAGGGAGAAATCCAGGAAAACAGGCGAAGATCGAAAACGGCTGAGGCTGGAAGGTCGAAAACGGCTGAGGCTGAGGCACAAATGAGGGCTCTGTAGTCTAGCTATCTGAGATATGCGCTAAACAATACTCGGCCGAGGGAAGGGATCAGAGTGAGTGTTAAATAGTGAGGGAGTGATATGAAACAGCTGGGTGCAATCAGTGTTACCAGCTGTGTGCAATCCGTGCTGAGTGCAATCAGTGCAATGAATGATGGGATATGTAGTCTGGGTGATGTGAATGATGGGTGATGTGCAACAGTGTGTAGTGCGAGAGTCAATGAAATCGGAAAGGGTGACCTCTGATGGCTAGCAGAAGTAAATTCATGGACCGGATTCGTGACAGCAATATAGATAGATAGATAGATAGATAGATAGTTAGATAGATAGATAGATAGATAGAGCAATTTGGTGCTTGTTTGTGAAGTGTTTCAAGCACTTTAGCATTCTGCCCTTGACCTTGTAAGGCTTGGGAGGATCCATCTCCCCTGGTAAGTCAGATAAGTTGTCAGGAGTTGAGTGTATGGGTTTGTGTCTGTATGGTATTAGGGTGGGTGCTTTCAAAGAAAAAAATCTATTTTTATACGAATTTGAAGCATATGTGTGTGTCTCAGAAGACAAATGCAGATGCTACTGTCTTTACTCAAAATTTCCAACATTTGATATAAGAATGAAAAGTTTAACCCTCATCGACTTTAGATTGTGTCTGATGGTTAGTCTGTGATAAACTTATTTTAGACCAGGGGGTTTCAAACTGGGGTCTGAGCAAGGAGTTGCAAGAGGGTTATCATTATTATTATGATTATTTTTATTATTATTAGAGCTGTCCCATGTTAACTGTAAAATTGGTCAGTAAAACAAAATTTATAGCCAAAAGCCCTATGCAGTTTTACAAATCTACCATTACTGTAATAGTGGGTATTATTTTCCAGAAAATATTTTAATAGTTTGATTTGGCATCAATACATTTATAATATAAAAGCCACATATTTACATTTGTGGACAACATGCTCATAATATTGTGCTTTTTCTATGTTTTTATGTATAAATGGGTCTTTACACAAGAACTGTAGCTTCCTTTATATTTTATGAAGGGTGTTTCTCACAAGGGCATAATCATATTTGGGGTCCTTGGCATCAAAACGTTTACAATTACTGTAAAGTCAAAGAAACTGTCAAAGAAGTCAAAGAGGTCAAAGAAACTGCACTGCAGTTTTGATTTTCAGGAGGGGGCAGAGAGGAGGGTATTCCAGGATCATGACATTTTACAGATTTGTCAGAGAAAGTCAAAAAGCATATGTTTTTAAAATGCGTATGGCCATGTAAAATATTTATGCATTTATTGCCATTTTATTTTTTTTTTCCAAAATTCATCCCAAAATATGGCAAAAATGTGTGTAAATGTGTGTAATTCATTGATATCAAATTATAAATGAGATTTTTCTGGTTCTGGCTTTCGAATGGTCAATAAAGCATGTGCTAAAATCCAAGATATAATAACAAATATGACACAAAACGTATATGTTACATATAGCCACATTCATGTCTTTGATTTTATTAGCCATGATTACTATATACACAACCTCTTCTACTGTACCGCTTAACTGAAATAACTTTCTGTATAAGTAATCACATCATGCATTACTAGGGCCGTTTTATGCCTGAAAAAATCTAATTACCTTATTCAAAAATATGTATGGTGGAATTTAAAGTTTTTATAGCAGCAAGCTGTTTTTTTAAAAATTAATATTCCATAAAAGACAAACTGATCTGGAACAGTCCTGTAAAAACGGGAACAGTACTGTAAAATCTAGAATTAGGTTAAATGGTTGTGACACAATGTGAGTTGTCACACTGTCTGGTTAACCACTTATAAATTAGAGGTGACAAATTTAAAGGATTTATGTGAGAAAGACCAATATCCAAATAGAAATATCAACACAGATTGTAATAATGGCACTCTTTACTTACATGTTGGATGTTAAGGAAAGTTACAAGCATCCTCAGTCTCGTCTGTTTTGATTCGTGCAGAGGTCACTGGCCTCTATGAAATCTGAGATGCTGTTTTTTAGTGAACCCACACTGACCAATCCTGACCATCACTGAGAATTCCAGATATTCTTGCTGCAGGCAAAGGAAAAACATTACCCACCAAGCTCTTCACACCTATCAAATATATCATGTATCATTGTGTGAGTTTAAACACCCTGCAGTACGCACATGAGATTAATAAAATATGTCTCATAAGGACAAAGATGAATGCAATATGGCCAGAGATATAGGCAGCTGAATTTAAATGTCTAGTTATGCATAGAATATAAGCTTTAATCACAATACAAAGTCATTTTTCACTGCTAACTAGGTCCACCTGCTATCTATCAAAGAGTATGTTGAACTACAGAAATAATTTACAGCTTGGCAGGAATGTGACTCCTAAATGAATCCCAGCTAGAAAAGCATTTGCTGCACACTTAACAACTTAACTAATTCAGAAAGGCCAGAAACAATACAAGTGTTGTTAGTTTCATAGCACCCATTTTGAATAAACATGTTCATACCTCAAGCCAAATTTTATATTAGAAAAATGCTGTATCTATGTAGCTCAACACTATAGATTTATAGTATTTGTTGTATATTAGGCCAAATAGACACATCTGAGCCACCTCCCATAAATTATATTTTGCAAATTTGATACAAATTAGAATTATAACATCACATGGGTGAGTTCTCCTTTTAAGGAACTCGAACCTCTAGTGGACACTATGGGGACTGCCGCCAGAAGGACGGTGTCTGAAGCACGTGTGAAACAACTTCAATCCCACCGGCCCACGTAGCCTGTGATGTCACAGGCAGGCGCCCGCAAGTATAAGAGGGTGCCTGTCGAACACGTCACCAAATTTTGTTGTCTTCAGGAGCCGTTTGTTTGACAGTGCGTGTGAAAGTGTTATGGAAAAAACCAAGGCAAGTGAGCGTTTTAGAAAGAGTGTGCCTCTGTGCCCGAGGACACACACAATCTATACGTTATGTGTCTTGGTGAGAAGCATGCACATTTGGTTCTCAAGGGCTCTGAATGCGCTCATTGTGAGAAATTCTCAATGAAAAAGCTCCGTTCACATTTTCCCCTCTTCTCAGGGGATGAGGGACAAGCATCTGCATCTCATGGTTCAGGTCCCGCTGCTGCCGAGGCACAGCATAGACTCGTGGGGTTTGCAGGTCAAGCTTGCAGAAAAGTTTGAGAAGGGTATGGACCTTTCGAAAGCTACCTCTGCAAGCTTGGGTGCTCAGCGGGATCCAGATACTCTTTCACTTCGGTCATCTGATTCCGTGGATAACGCTACATTGGGCTCATCTAGTGAGAGTAAGGACGTGGATGTGGTTGGTGATGGAGATGAAAGTGTGAGCACTGAATCTTCCCGACCTAACTCCAGTCCTGCATTCAGGGAAATGCTGAAGGGTGTATGTGGTAGCAGGTCAAGCTAATGGAGCCTTGTACACTATGGCTGTGTAAGCTTACCAAGCTGACTTAGAGATCTAGATTAGGGCAAGGGTTTGACACCTGAGGTAGTTAAGAAACTGCGCCGCACCACAGACTTGGCTCTTCATGCCACTAAACAGACTGCTGCTGCCATAACAACTCTGCAAGGTGAATATGAATTATTGAATTTTTATGAAAATGTGTGTGAAATGTTTTGAATTGAAATATTCACAGCTTAAATAAACAACTATATTAAATGTCAGACCCTAAAAAGGCAAACCCTGAAAAAACTAGGCATGAAAATGCAAGCACTGTTAATGCAATGCATTATTTTTTCAGTTAGTGCAACATGCTTTTTTTGTTTCAAAGACATCAGCAGGTCAAGCTAATGGAGCCTTGTACACTATGGCTGTGTAAGCTTACCAAGCTGACTTACTTAGAGATCTAGATTAGGGCAAGGGTTTGACACCTGAGGTAGTTAAGAAACTGCGCCGCACCACAGACTTGGCTCTTCATGCCACTAAACAGACTGCTGCTGCCATAACAACTCTGCAAGGTGAATATGAATTATTGAATTTTTATGAAAATGTGTGTGAAATGTTTTGAATTGAAATATTCACAGCTTAAATAAACAACTATATTAAATGTCAGACCCTAAAAAGGCAAACCCTGAAAAAACTAGGCATGAAAATGCAAGCACTGTTAATGCAATGCATTATTTTTTCAGTTAGTGCAACATGCTTTTTTTGTTTCAAAGACATTTGTCATTATTTTTCTTCCATATTATTGCCTTTTGTTGTCACAGAAGAGCAATACACTGTAAAAAATGACCGTGAATTTAACGGTAAAAGACTGTAAAAATGCTACAGTAAAAACCTGTTAAATGGTTAACGGTAAATTCCCCTACTATATACGGTGAAAAACTGTATTGGACATTACATGTATTGGACATAAATTCTACGGTAGTATACCGTTTTTGGAAGTGAAAAATACTGTCACGTCCCAAAAACATTCAAGCTGGCGGTTATTAAGCCTCTTATTAAGAAACCACAACTAGATCCTAGTGAACTGGCTAATTACAGACCCATCTCAAATCTTCCTTTTATGTCTAAAATTTTAGAAAAAGTTGTGTCTGCTCAATTGTGTAGCCTAGACAGTCAAATGTACCCGTCATAAATCTTTTTTTTTTGTCATTCTTAAAATGTTTTCATTTATCTGACATCCTCATAGCAGATATGATCAAGCTTCAACATATGGATATGTGTTTTTAGGGTGTAAAAGGTCTATTTAATAAATGTACCTTAATAAATTAGATAAAGTGAGAACTAATTTGATACAAATACATTTTTAAAGATAATAACAATAAAAAATTAAATTGAAAAATAAATACAAAATACAATACAAGTAAAAAAAAATCTGTCTGTAATTGTCACAGAAAAATGATGTGTCATACATTGACATTTTGGACGATTGTAGCATCACCAAATACTCAAAAGGTTTAGAATATAAAGCTTGCAATTCACTCTACATAATGCATGTCACATAATTGTCATAATTTGAATCATTTAATATTTTCAAAACAAACGATCACTGAACAAAGTTCAATGCAGAAAAAGCCAAGATTTCTTCCTCCTGCGGCAGATAATGATTTCATACGTAAACTGAGTTTTGTCAGTCAAGAGGGGAAACCTATTTATTTAAGCAGATTTAAACTGTATTTATGTTATTGATTTGCAATCATTTAAAAGTAGTTAAGTCCTAAACTCTCTCTCTCTCTCTCTCTCTCTGGTAGATGCAGTGAGGATGAGGAGAAGAAAGGCTCAATGGCTGGTTTCAGGCATGTTAAGTCTGTCTTTGCTTATTGTAGTGATGGGCATCTACACCAGCACACGCACTGAGAGCGTCAGCATCACAGGATACATTTCAGGAATTATTGTAAGTGTCATAATCACATTTTGATTCGTATTTGGTGTAAATGCAGAAAAATTGGTAATTTTTTTAAAAATAGAAAATATTTATTTGTTGGTTTATTCGTTATTTGTTGCTTGTTTGTATTTGTTTTCTTTGGTATTCTGTCTAGCTATGAGACCCATTGACATTCTTGATCTTTTTGTACATACCCTGGGGAGCTAGAGTTTATTCTGATCTCAATGAAGATTCCATTCCATCCAGCGGGATGAAAATGTACTTATGTCTCATTCAGTCAAACCATAATCAGATAAGAAAGTAGTCATTTGAAACTAATCGTTTGTCAAGAAGAACACTAATTTTGGTCGGAGCAGTAATTCCCCCAACAACCCAAGCCAAATCCACTGCTCTGACTTTATTTAAAACTCATAGAAGTTGCCAAAGTAGATAGAGACCAACCAAACCTTTCCAAGACAAATTTTCATGAGATAACCACACAATCTGAAATAGCAGGAGAATCTCACGTTTATCTGAAATACAATTTATAAATGCAATTTTGGATAAAGTCATTTTGGATCTCACCAACCCTTCTCAAAATACTTAACTGCACATAGATATTGACTTTATGATTTAGCCTGGGCTCAACATAATTATGGTTATTGTCAAGGAAATTATATTTTACAATAATTGCTATAAATTAAACAAATATAATTTAAATGTCCTTTGGAAATATGTGCTTGATGTGGGTTTGTGTAATTTTCTTGGTCTCTGATTTCATTTATAGAATCGAGTAACACAAAGGAACATTTTAATTTCTCATTTTATGAATATGACAGTTATCATTTCCTCTTCAGGAACTCGAGCTGCGTTGGAAAACGCTAGGGGAACGCCTTCTGTGACCACGCTCTGAATAACATGTGAAATCAGTCCAATAGCTGAGCGTGACGTCACGGGCGGGTGACGTCTTGACCAGGAAGCCATAAAAGCACGTGCCCTCTGTACAGAAACTGTATTTCTGCGGAGACCGCCAGCCCGACCCAGCTAACTGCCCGTTTGGTACAGTTCTGGAGTTTCTGCAGGCCTGTTTATCCGCAGGGTTGACCCACTCCACCCTAGAGGGCTTCGTGGCGGCCATTGCGGCCTACCACGCCCCTCTCGGTGGCCATTCAGTGGGAAGACACCCTCTTCTTACACGTTTCCTCTGTGGAGCGCTGAGGCCGAGGCCTCCGGCCAGAGAAGCTTATGCTAAGTGGTGGATCAGGATGCTATTCCATAGCCTCGGGTCAAGATTCACTCCTCCAGAAGTTGGCCTTCAGGATGGCAGGCTCCGCCTACTTTAGCCACACTTCTGTTCTCTCGCCCTAGCTGTGCAGTCTTCCACATTAGGCAGAGATTTGGAAGTCTGGCGGCGTGGACATTCTCGTTGCCCTAGTGTTTGACGCCGCTCAAGTTCCTGAAGAGGAACGTCTCAGGTTACGCATGTAACTAACCCTGGTTCCTCGAGGGAACGAGATGCTGCGTCTCGGTGCCATACTTCCGGCATCCCTGCCAGCGCTTGCCTCATTCCTGAAGCTGACGCTGGCGCCGCCGCACGTGCTTTTATAGCTTCCTGGTCATGACGTCACCCGCCCGTGGCGTCCCGCTCAGCTATTGGACTGATTTCACATGTTATTCAGAGCGTGGTCACAGAAGGCATTCCCCTAGCATTTTCCGACGCAGCGTCTCATTCCCTCGAGGAACCAGGGTTACATATGTAACCTGAGACGTTTTTCACATACTCAGCAGCCTTAAAGCGTTGGCACACAACTGAAAGTTTTGCAAAATTGTGGGCAAAAAAGGTGCATTGTATTTTGTCAATTGAGTAGCAATGAATAAATCACCAGTGGTGGAAAGAGTACTGAAAATTTGTACTTAAGTACAAGTACTGTTACATTGCTGAAATAATACTCAATTACTAGTAAAAGTACTGGTGTCAAAACAGTACTTAAGTAAAAGTACAAATTACTCTTCTCAAAAACTACTCAAGAGTACTAGTTACTTTTTAGCTGGCGATATTTAATGAATTACCAAAAAATATTCATTCATATCAAAGATCTATGTGGATAATAGCTATTTTGAACAAAACCCTTTTATCTTGACAAATTTCGTGAAATTGGTGGTCACAATACAGGAATTTCTGACTTCAATACCTTGAAAAATATCAATATTAAAGTACCATTGAACCAGAAACAAACCGGAAGAAAACAACAAACTGTGCCAATGTACACCTACAATGTCATGTAATACTGAAACAATTATATCCCTAACCTTTATCTCCATACTGAAATCCCAGATGGCCAGACAGTGATTCAGCTAAAATATTAGTGTCTGAGACACTGTGAGCATGGAGACTGTACACAGAACCACCTTTTGGGTGACCCGGTGGCTAGAGCCACTGCCTCTCTGCCCTCATTGGCTGAGGTGCCCCTCTTGAACCACCCAGCACCCCCACTGAATGTGACTGGCCCCCTCGGTGCTCTACCAACACCATTGGGTTAGAGTAAGCTACTGGAATCTGCTCTGTCAGTCGCTGACAGCGATGTGGAGTTTTTCAAATAACTTTACCACAGACCACGTCTCTGTTCATAAGGTACGTAAACACCTTAAACAAATATATTTTGGAAAATAGCCTCAATATTTATTCTGAGTCAATATTTATTCTGATTACTTTCGTGTGACTGATCAAGTTATTATATGTAAAGCTAGTATGAGTAACAAAATGCATTCCCTATGTCCAGATATGACCGCAATAATAATGCAAAAACTGACACTTCAAATCAGCACATTGGTGGGCGGAGTTAGTGTAAATAGCCTCTGCCAAATATTAAATGCTATGTCCCTAATTGATGCGGGACTCAGTTTGTTCCTTTTTTTTTATAGTATTTTTGGCCATGCACCCCTCAATTTTCTGATAAGAAAACAGTCAACCATGGGTGGCAAGGCACTGTTAAAAGATCTCCGGGACGAAGTTGTGGGCAGGCACAAGTCAGGAGATGGATACAAAAAAATTCAAAGGCTTTATCAATGCACAGAGTAGTCTATTATTAAGAAGTGGAAGGTATTTGGTACAACACAGACCATTCCTGGATCAGGACGTCGGAAACTGGTCAGAGAGGCTACCAAGAGGCCTACAGCAACTCTGAAGCAGTTGCAGGAATTTATGTCATTGTGCAGGTCATTGTGTACATGAGACAACAATATCACAAATTCTCCACAAATGTGGCTTGTATGGGAGGGGTGCAAGAAAAAAAGCCACTCCTCAAGAAAGGCCACATGCAGTCACGACTGAGCTTTGCCAAAACGCACTTTGAAGATTCTGAGCCAGATGAGTCTAAAATTTAATTATTTGGCCTCAGCACCAAACAATGTATATCTGGTGGAAATCCAATACAGCTCACCATCCAAATAACAGCATTCAATAAAGCATGGAGGTGGTAATATCCTGTTATGGGAGTGTTTCTCCCCATCAGGTACTGTATCACTTGTCAGGATAGAAGGAAAAATGGACGTGGCAAAATACCGTCAAATTCTTAAGGAAAGTCTGCTGCCCTCTGCCAGAAAATTGTAAATGGGAAGAAGGTTTACCTTCCAACATGACAATGAACTAAAGCACACAGTAAAACTGACCACACAGTGGTTGAAGGAGAAAAAGGTGAATGTCCTTGCATGGCCTAGTCAAAGCCCAGATTTAAACCCCATTGAAAATCTGTGGAATGACTTGAAGACTGCAGTCCACAAATGGCCACCATCAAATTTAACTGAACTTGAGCAGTTCTGCAAAGAAGAGTGGGCAACTATTGCAAAGTCTAGACGTGCAAAGTTAATAGAGACATATCCTAACAGACTAAAGGCTGTAATTAAAACAAAAGGTGGTTCAACAAAATACTGACACAAGGGGTTGATCCTTTTTCCAACTTAGTGATTTTGTTTTTTTATTTTTTTCTGACATGGTGTATCTTTTACTTGGATGTTATAAGTTGCCCTGAGTAAATACAGCTGGATGAAACAAAAACTGTGTCCGTCTTCATTTCAGGCTGCAAAGCAACAAAATGTGATTATTTTAAAGGGGGTGTGATTCTTTTCTATACCCACTGTACATTGCGTCCTTTTTGAAATTTAAAAACTCTAGTCCCAATTACATAGCAACCAAGTATTCCACATTTTTTCCATTTTCGTCTTATGGGTTTGGAACAACATGAGTAAATAATGACTTGAATTTCCACCTATTTTTGTTAACTAATCCTAGAAGTGTCAGTTGTTGTCTCTTAATAATACTCAAACTTGCATTTTCCCAATCAATGAATTACATTGGTGACTTCATCTGTGAGTTCAAGGCTGCTCAGACATTATAAACAAGGGGCTTCTTGTTGATACAATGTCATATATTATCAGTGGGTTAACAGCAGGAAAAGGAAGATAATAAAATCAGTCTGACAGTGAGAAGTAAACCGCATACTGTGTTACCAAAACATCTCTTTTCCATCTGTGAACTTGAATGGTCTGTGAATCTTTCCACAACTCCAGCAGATACCCTACTGGAGACTTGGACTATTAGTATAGTTTGCAGTGTGTCACCTGCACAAGCTGATGAAGTTTTGCATCCAAAGGGATTGGATCTTCCAATCCGCTATCAGCAGGATGTTGAGGAGAGGGAAGGTTATGTGTTCCGCAACAGCATGTAATCTCACGATCCTTGAAAAACATAGAGTGGATGCCATAAATCATTTAGTTTGAAATGATTTGAAATCATGATAATGATTCCCAGTGCTTGTACAGTCATGCTTATGTTCTCTAGAGTATTTGGCATCATTTGTTTCTCTTTTCCATTCATGTCTGTCTACTGATTGCAGTTGGCGTTTGGATCATTCTTGGGAGTTCTTGGACTATGCCTGGAGGAAAACCGCAAACAGCTGGTAGATATCTTCATAATGTAACATTTTCAGTCTTCCATCATCAGTTGGGTTTTGTCTTCCTGTTTTATGATCCTGCTCAGTATGATACCTTGTCATCCTGCCATGGTCATTTCTAGTTAAGCTTCACAAAACATGTACCCCTTTTTTATTTTCCTTTTTCTTCACTCTGGTTAAGAAAACATTCTAATATCATGCTTCCAACATGCAAATATGTGAAGCACAAGCATTAAAAAAAAACAAGATATCTGTTTTTATACCACAGCACTGCTGAATGCTTGACTCTGATTGGTTGAAATATGTTTCAAGATGTTTATATTTTTGTTTGTGATTGAATGACATTAATTCCATATCACTTGACCACAGTCTTTACAATGTGTTCAAATTTGTAAAATATGGGACTTCAAAAAGCAAAATAATCAGAAAAAGTAATAAATGTCAAAGATAGAGGCTACTGTGTTTGTCATGTATATGGCTGAGACCACACACACAATTGTTCAGAATTTCACACTGGGTTCACTTATTAAGGAAATAATTCTTATATGGAGATGATGATATTTGCTAAAGACCAAACCTACTTCTAAACCTAACCCTCAAACAAACGTGTTAGTAGGTTTAATGAAAAATATCATTTGGCCGATTTGTGTGTGTCCTCACAGTTGGGTTTCTGACATGTTTCTCTATATTTGTGAGGGCATTTTTTAAAAATTTGCAAACTTGCACACACACACACACACAGACACACACACACACACACACATCAGGTTTGTGTTGGGGACTTTCCATCGACTTTTATTGTCTTTAAACTGAGCAAGATATTTTCCATCACCTAACCCAACTACAAACCCTAACACAAACTTTTCTGCATTTTAATTAAGACATTATTAAGCCAATTTCCTTATGAGGACTGTTGATTTCTTCCAGTAATGTAGGTGAATTCAGGGTTTCTCCAATTACTGCTTAGAAACAGCCCAAGATGCAGTATAAGCTGTCTGAATTAAACCTTGTTCAGACTGTCAGTCCATATCCGATTTTTGTGCATATCCGATAGGAATCTGATTTAAATGTTTGACAATGTCTGACATGTTTATGTCTTATGTGGCGTGAGAAAGTGACATAAGCAAAATAGCTACACAAAATCCAATTTGAGACGATTTGAATAAGAATTTGATTGCATGTGTGTTTTTGCCATTCACACTAGCTAATCCAATCGAATAGGCACAAAAATCAGATTTGGACTGACTGTCTGAACAAGGCTTTAGTGACGTAACAGTGATATATACTGTATGTAGTAGCTATGAAAGTACAAAATAAATATCATGATATCAATGTCTATGCTGATCTACCTCGACAGGTTAAAGGAATGGTTCACCCAGAAATGAACATTTCGCCTTCCAAGATGTAGATGAGTTTGTAATACTAAAGAAATTTAGTATTACATCACTTGATCACCAATGGATCCTCTGCAGTGAATGTGTGCCATGAAATTCAGTCCAAACAGCGGATGAAAGTATATCAATAACCCACAAATAATCCACACGACTCTATCAGTTAACATTTTGTGAAGTGAAAAGTGCCTAATTCATAAAAATGCATCCTTCAGTGAAAAAATCCATCATCTGTTCTCCTCTCAAATCAAAATCCACCAACATATTTCTTTCAAAATGTTTTCATTTATAAATGTTGCTCAATCTGCGTATATTTCTCCTGATTCAAACGAGACAACCTTTTCAATAGAGAAAGTGATATTATGGATAGAAGACTTTTATTTTCTATTTATAATATATTTCTATTATTTTGTATTTTAGCCAGAAGCAATGGTTTGAAGTTAAAACATCTCTAAAGAATGAATTTGTTTCTTATGACCATGCAGCTTTTCACTTCACAAGACATTAATTGATGGACTCGAGTCGTGTAGATTACTTGTGGATTCTTGTGATGTTTTTATTAGCTGTTTCGACTCTCAATCTCATGGAACCCATTCACTGCAGCGGATCCATTGGTGAGCAAGTGGTGTAATGCTACATTTCTCAAAATCTGTTCTGATAAAGAAACAAATTAATCTACATCTTGGAAAGCATGCGGGTGAGTACATTTTCAGTAAATTTTCATTTCTGGGTGAACTGTTTCTTTAATGGATGATATAGTACAGGTTACTTTGATTACAATGCCACAACCTTCAGAGTTCAAGGCAAGTTAAACTTTATCAGCTGTTAAATCATATTACTGTTATATGTTAAACCATATTACTTATTATGGAAATAATATACTTGTGATACTATGTGAAAAGTAATATACTTCAGTGCTGTGAGTATAATAACATAATTCCATGATAACTGCCAATCAATAAAAATGTATTACAGTTGAAATGCATATTGATTACAATAAGCTGAACTTTAAAGTGCTTTTTGAACTACTTAAAGAGTACATCTTTATGTGTAGTTTTTTTTACATTTTGACATTTTTTACTGTGCACTTTGTTAAAGTGTGTTAAGAAACAGTCATGAAAGTGTACTCTCTTTAACTACACTTAAGTGGCCTTTTATTTCATTAATATTACATTATACACTCTAAAAAGTGCTGGGTTGTTTTAACCCAACTTTGGGTCAAATATGGACTAACCCAACTGTTGGATTACATTTTTCAAATACATTTTTAACCCTAAAGTTGGGTTAGTCCATATTTGACCTAAAGTTGGGTTATGGCAGCATCTCTCTACTAATAGTGAAGCTGTGGGTTTTAGTTACTAAGAAATATATATGATAGATATGATATATATGATAGAACTTTTCAGTTTCTAAGCTATTTTATTGAGAAATCAGAACAGTGTTGACAATACATTTCCGCGCTGCTGAATGATTCTGTGTGACCAATGTATTTGGAACTTAGTTTACAGCAAGGCAGGTGCAGACGAGTTGTCCAGGTTGGTATGCTGGGGTGTTCCTTCTCTGAGTATCTACAAAGATATTTTGTCTGCGCACTGCCCACTGAAGATGGTGATGAGCCTCGTCCCATACCCTCTCCAGTGATTGATAGATGGCACCTCCGAGGGATTGCCTGACCAGGGGAATAATTGTGGCTGAAAGCCGAGCATGCACTGGAACGGGGTGAGACCCGGTGATGGTTGTCGCAGGGAATTTTGGGCATACATGGCCCAGGCGAAGAATCAGTTCCAGGAGTTCTGCCGGCTCTGGCAGAAGGTCCTAAGGAAGCAGCTGATCTCCTGCACCTTCCTCTCCATCTGCTCAGTTCTGGATGGTACCCGGATGTTAGGCTGACAGTCAAACCTAGGAGTGAGAAGAAAACTTTCCAAGCTTGTGAAATAAGCTGTGGACCACGGTCAGAAACAGTGTCCTCAGGAATTCCAAAATTGCAAAAAAAAACTGGTTAAACAGGGCCTCTGCAGTCTCCATGGCTGTGGGGAGTCCCTTCAGAGGAATCCGTTTGCCTGCTTTGGAGAATCTGTCAATGATAACCAGGATGCAGTTATTTCCATCAGAAGCAGGTAAGTCGGTGATGAAATCCACTCCTAGGTGTGACCATGGGTATCGAGGGTTGGGCAGAGGAACCCCAGAGGTGATTTCTGGGAAAGTAAGTGCGATCTGGAGGGCACCCCGGCGAAGCAGGTTCAATTTTGGAGGTCTCAAAGATTTGTTAATCGATACTCTACTGGATGGGGTTGACAAAAAGAGTGACTTCGTTGATGTCAGAGGGGGCATGAAGTCGGGATAATGCATCAGCTCGGGTGTTCCAGGAGCCAGGTTGATAGGAGATGCTGCATTGGAAACTGGTAAAGAACAACGCCCATCTGGCTTGTCTGGGGTTTTGTCTCTTTGCTTCTCTTAAATACTGTAGATCAGTGAGGGCAATAAAATGTCAAGCTCCCTCTAACCAGTGCCTCAACTCTTCCAGGGAAAGCTTAATGGCCAAAAGCTCACAATTCCCAATGTCATAATTTTGCTCTGCCGGGGATTTGCTGCTGTGACAAGACTGCACCCACTCCAGTAGTAGAAGCATCTACTTCAACCACGAATGGCTTATTGGGGACAGGGTGATTTAGGAGTGGTGCAGTAGTGATGGGCTTGCCTTTTAACAGTGAAGTGAGGGGTGATGTCAGGATACTGTAGTTTTGGATGAAGCTACGGTAAAAGTACACAAATCCAAGGAATCTCTGGAGTTCTTTCACCGTGGTAGGAGTGTGCCAGGAGGTAACAGCAGATACTTTCCCCTCATCCATTTTGACCCCGTTCTTGCTTACTATGTAATCGAGGAAGTGGATGGTACTCTGATGAAAGCTGAATTTCTCAGCTTTTTTTAAGCTATATTTTTGACCTTTTAATGCCTTTGGAGACAGTGGAGACATGATAAGAAAGCATAGGGCAGAGAGAGGGGAGTTGGATTGGCAAAGGGAATCAAACTCGGGTCGCCGGAGGCACTTTCCAACATTTTCTTGATCAAGTGCTGGAAATAGCGGATGATGGGCACAGAACGGTAACAAAACTCAAGAGACATTTACAGTCACACACAGGTGTATTGTGCAAACTGTACTTTTGAGGGATGTTTAGATAGCTATAGAAGAATTCACGTTCAGATTTTTTTTTATATATTTAACTTACAGATTTCAGTTCAAATGCTTCAGTTTGTTTTATATTCTATTTTATTCTATTTTATTCTATCAGTTTAAGTGCTACAGTTTGTTTTGATATTATATTATGTTAGGTCTATATTATAAGCC